GATTGTTCTGTAAATAGTTTGAAATGTTTATTTAAAAACACCTTGGCTGCATTTTTAGGTAAACAGCTGCAAAAACTCAGTAACTTTTTTGAAGAAGTAACTATATAATTAATTACCCAGCATTGGTCATTATTTACTGTATTTGCAGACAGAGTTACAGACTCTCTCCCAGACCACAGACTCATCATACAGTCAGAGCTTTATGAAATAAAGAAAGTTGTGTTTTCAAAATTGGAGTTGAAGTTATTTTTCCTTCCAGTAGTGTTAACATGCTGCAGGTCATGAACAACGTTTTTTTACATTTTCATTGTCAGTGGGCTGAAGCAGTTAATTAAAAGTCGTCTAACAGAAATGTAAATGCTGTGATTTGATTATTTTAATAAACATGTGACTTGGATGGATTCGATGCTGGCGTGACCACAGTGCTCACGTCTGCTGTTGCTCACAGTGGTACTGCTCAGGGAGTTTGTGTGTTCGCTCAGACATGAAACATTAGAGGGAACGTTGCTCATAACTGAAGTTTACGGCATTTGGATCGTTTTTAACCTCAGGTTCTCTTTTTTTTGTGTCGCCTACTTTCTGATCCTGTTACACTACACAGCTACTGAGGTCACACATCCTGGTTTTAAGTAGAAACATCAGAGTCCACACAACAGTTTCCTTTTTCACTACCAGTGCGTAATATTTCATGGATGGTTACGCTCTGTCAGCTGTCAGCTGATGGTCATCAGTAAAGAGTCAGAGTAACGACCGACGTGCTAATAATTAAGTTCGCTGTAAAGACAAGTTTGTGATTATGAATCGTGGAGAAAAACAACTTATCTTGGGTTTTACTTCTGTCATATCCAGGCTCTTATTTTGACACATTTTTCACCTAAATCCAAACGATAAACCGGCTGTGTTGTCATGTTGTGTCCAGATGGTCCTGAACAACCGACTATAACGGCTAAGAAAGCCGTGGAAGTCAATCAGCAAGTGGAGCTCACCTGCTCCGCTGCATCTGTTCCTACTGCCAACTACACCTGGAAGTTAAACGGCACCGCAACTACAACCACAGCGGCGGTGTTCATTATTGCAAGTGCAGCATACAAAGACGCTGGAACGTACACATGTGAGGCACACAACATCATCACCAGCAAGACCACCTCCACCAGCCACAACCTGTCTGTCCAAGGTGAGCGCCGTCATGCAGCCCAGACTGATCATTCAATGAATATACAGACTTCACTGCCTCAGCGCTGCACAGCCTGCAGGGACAGCCTGAAGTTTTGTGCTCCTCTTAAATTCTTACAGGCGTGAACGTTTATGTTTGTATATTTGTTTTTTCAACCAATGAGGAAGCACCAGGTCAGAGTTTACTGCCGGCACGTGACGTCCACGTCTGTTTGAAGCTCTGACATCATCTCAGAGCTTCAAAGAAACCCAACCAGTTCATGTCGTTTGCATATGGCATGACCCCAAGTTTAAGTTTTAATGCTGGCAAAGTATGGCAAGTGCAACTCTTCAGGTCATTACAGACGCCTAAAAGCGTCGACCAAGTTCTTCTACGTAAGGCCAGCTGTATTTTAATCATCACTAATTATTGTTGTTAGATATAATTCAGGATTTACGTGTTCGAGCTTAATATGCTCAAACAAAATAAACAGGTTTTCCTTCATTTTCTAAAAGACGTGATCATTAAGGTACATAATGTGTGACTCACATTTCCAGGTTGTGAGAAAACAAAACTGCACCCTGAGTAAAGCTTGTAGGCAAAGTTGGGAACTACAGATGCACAATAAGCTAATGTTAGGCAATGTTAAGCTAATGCTAGCTTCAGCTGAGGGTGACACAGTCCGGCTTCAACTGGTCGAGGAGTTTTGTGCAGAAAAGGCTTCTTCCTGTCTTTGCCTTTCACAATAAGGGTCCTTTATATATATATGCTCTACGTCAAAGCGGTGTACAGCAGATTAAAAAATATTCCTAGTTGCATATTTTCTTAGCATATAAACGTCATAATCCACAAACAAAAAATACCAAAATAACATCGCGTCCCGTTACTATGAAAAAGAACTGAATCAGCTCCATTGTTTATTTGTGAGTAATCTAACGGAGTGACACGGACAGGCCAGTGTGACTAACGAGGTGACGCCACCCTGAACCAACCGAACATTATCAGACTGTTTTTAAACTCGTCCTGTTTTCTTCTTCTCTAGTCTCACTTTCAGTCTTGCCAGCTAGCAGCGGGGAGGTGTAGCGGTGCGCCGCTTGTTTACTGTTATGTTGGAATGAGGTCTGCGTTTCCGCCTTTATCTTCTGTCCCGTACATTAATCAGAGTTAGAGATCACAGTCACACTGAGTCACGCATACTTAAACACACAGTCACAGAGAATGTCCATACTAAACTACCAATGACTGTCTTTACAGGGGAGGGAACGCTGGACGGTCTCTCAGATGGAGCCATTGCTGGAATCGTCATCGCTGTCATCATTGCTGTGGCCCTCGTTGTCGTAGGCGTCTGGTGTTACTGCCGACAGAAAGTCCCGTAAGTACTCCTGCTTCCTGATATCTAAAAGGGGCATGCAGGGGGGGGGCACGTCGGTCAGCCAATGGGATGAGGCGTTGGAGCGGCTGAGTCGGAGAGGCACCTTGCTTCGAGGCTGAACCAACCAAACCAACAAAACAGGTCTCACTGTGGCTGAAAATGATAGTAACGTTGGCCTCAAACTGTTTGAACCAGACTGTTTACTCGAGGGTAGTTTCCTGATTTGAACTGGCTGACGAGATATGACTGAGATACTGTTGTTCCTCAACAAACTGGGAAAAACACTTTGTGTGGAGCTGGAAACAGAAAGAAATATCTGTGAGATTCACCACCCGTGGACCCAAAGCAGCTGACAGCTTAAAGCAGTGAAAGAGTGTTTGTGTCGTTCATGGTGACAGTAGCTCATGAGATGTTCTGTTTGCACGGCTGTTGTTTCTTTAGAGCCACAGCAGCGCTCTAATGTGTTGTAACGTGGAGAAGCTGGGTGATCACACCGAGTCAGTCTCCAGAGACTCCAGATTCAGAGTCAGCTGCTTATTTTGATTTTTCCCATCAGAGTGCTTCAGATGTCCAAACAGCGTGAGGAACGTTACTCCCCCGCTCTGTGCTTTTCTCCGCTGTGTCTCCCACTTCATGACCTCCCAGGAGACTTCATTCCTCTCATGCCTCGGCGTATTGAAACATGTTCCCAGATGTACCCTACTCAGATATTAAAGAGCCGCCGCGCCCTTCGGCACCATTTCAAAAGTAACTGTCACCTTTGCACAAGCCGGCCGCAGCCGCTGTTTCTTAGACGACAGTTTGGGAGCAGCACCTCCACCGGTAAGATGGAGGTAAAGACTAGAAAGAACATTAGAGTTCTGCAGCACGGTCGTATCTTTAGGAACACTTTATGACAGACTATCATCGGGGAAACGCTTCCCTGTTGCAAACAATCAGGTCTGCAGACACAAATATGTTAAACGGTGCTACAGTTGAAGTCACGGCACGCTCTTCCAAAGCAGAGCGAGTGATGCAATCGCATCGCATTTTGACACACAGCAGGAAGCTGCGCTGCTGAAACAAAGAACAGTCTGATGAGTCACAGACACAGCCTCCAGCATGCACACACTCACATTACTCACTGCAGCCAAACCAAGCAACGCAACACAGGAAGTTACCTTTGGAAATGTGTGTGTGTGTGTGTGTGTGTGTGTGGGGGGGGTACCTGAAGTTCCAAGGAAGTGAATGAATGAACAGGTATGAAGTGTGTCTGCAGGAATCTCACAAACACGAAAGCAGCAGAATTACCTGGTGGGGGACGTTGTTCTCGTCCACCTGCAGGCGGCTGGAAGCCCGTTTGTCTCTGCGGACGCGAGCACAGTCTTCTTAACAGACCGCTGTCATGTGACGGGACCTCTTGATGTCTCGGGTAAAGGACTGACCCCTCCGATGTGGTGACAGGAGGCCTTTGTTCTGTTTTGACTTCCTGTGACGGTGGAGATGTGGATGGATGATTGTCATCCTGGAGCTGGTCACCTTTGTTAGCTCTGCCCTGGTGAAAAAGGCAGAGACGTAAATGAAATGTTAAATATTTAAAGAGGTGATTTCCTGGAAAGGAAAAGCAGTTTTTCACAGCGTTTCGTTCTTTAGGAATAAATGTAACAGCAACAAGGTTTTCTCTGAAAGGAATCTGTATTATTATTTCCTCCTACTGATTGGTCGGTTGGAGTCTGTAGCAGGATCTGGGCATGCTCTGATGAGTTTTCTCTTCCATGCTGTGTGACACCCCGTTGGACATGTTGACCTGGTTAAAGAGGGATCATGGTAGAGCGTCTCTATAGGCTCCGGGGCCACCGAGCCGGGCAGGTGGGAGCACGGAGCTGTAGGTGGGACTGTAGCGGTCGGTCAGTGGAAAACAAGAAAGACAGGAAGTAACCGTACGTTCAGACAAACACAGCTATCACACACAGGCATCTTAAACACACACACCCAGAGCGAGCGAGAGATGGAGCGAGGCAGTGACAGCAGATAAAGACTGGCGATGACAGACGAGTGTGCAAACTCACAAACATGCTGTTTGTGCGCTGCACAGTGTGAGTTTGTTGTACACGTAGTCTCACAGTAATGTTACACTAAGGTACGAGAGTGAAACACAGGTCCTGGAAACATCTCAGTTTTTCCTGCTCCAGGCTCTGGATGATGTCATGGAGAGCTGATATGCCAAATATGGTAATCTCATGAAAACAGCTCTGACTGTGAGCTCAGAAGCCCCACCCCCACCCCACCTGCAGAACAAGATTGGTCTGAGCTGTGAATCCAGGAATAAACACGAGGAAATGAGCAGAACAGGTCGAGCATCAGTGATGTGTGCTTTTATTTGTCAGTTCTTGTCACAGTCTGGGGACTACATTACCCACAGTGCAACTTCTAGCACAGACTTTGCACAAAGATGGACATGTTTGCTGTGAAGTAAAACCATTTTTTGGGAAAGTCCAGTTTTGTAGTCTCAGTTTACAGATTTAGGGTCAAGAGATGGAGCTGAGGGTGGAGCTGAGGGTGGAGCTGAGGCTAGCCCTGGGTGCAGCTCTGTCAGCCATGACTCAAAGCATGCATGATCAGGACTGGACGACGCAGAGGCTGAAGTCCTGCAGGTGCAGCGCTGACGTTCAGGGTGGCGAGAAGACGAGGAACAGCTCAGCGTTCACTTCTGCTTCCAGGTCAGATTAGAGTGGCACCACCCACACACACCACCCGTCATCCTGCCACTCTGCGGAGGGAGGCCGGTGGTGTTTTGGATGAAAACTTCCCACACTGAGGACAAATGTCAAACGACAAACCTCGTTGTGTCGGAGACCAGAAACCCGTCCATCTCTGCCCAGGGTGGCCTTGAGGTGCAATCGCTGCAACGCTGAGGAAACCCCGTGTTTCACACGAAACCCGGAGTTCCCCATGTGAGAGCAGGCGTGGATAGACCTGACAGTGGGGAACACCGGGAGTGCTCTGACCGGTCGGCCCTGCAGGCTCAGACAGTGAGCCGATGCTCCCGCAGAGCCTGACTGACTCCAAATCCAGCCTGTAATTAAGCATTTCTCTGTGGTTATTTTGCAGCGCCATGAATCGTCTCTGCAGATAAAAGCGCGACTTTCCGATAATTGCAGGCAGCAGCTGAGATGCAGTTTGGTGACACGAAGGATTCCCTCAGAGCTTCATCACTGTTATTCACGCTCTGAGCTCAGATTGAAAAGAAGACGCGGACGGCTTTAAAAGAAGAAGGTTCACATCAAACATTTAGACATCCTTTCATTGGCTGAGGAGTTGACGGCCACTCAATCGGGGGCTTGATACAAAGCGAGTGATGGCTGCAGCGCGGTGGGAGGTAGCAGCTTTCAAACGCAGTGGTTTTAAAATTCCTCACCTCTGAATGAATCCCGGGAGCTGCTCGTGCCCAGCGGGGCGGGGCCTGTGCCGGGGGAATGGCAGGAATGTCGCTGTCATGTCTGCACACGTCTTCTGTGTGTTTGTGTCGCCGCTCGTCTCTCCCATCACCCTGCAGTTCAAAGGCTTTTGCACGCTGCCCACCTCCTTCCTGTTTCCCTGAGGTCGTCCATCAGCGCTGAGCTGCGTGTGTGCGGCTTGTTCTCCCAAGCGAGCGGTGCTGAGAGGCTGAAAGAGGAAGGAGGAACTCGTCTGTAGATCCCAGAGAGACGGAGCCTCGTCTCGTTCCTGCTGCAGGTGTTACTCACAGCTGAACACAGAAATCATCTTCTGTGTGAGCAACGCTGAACCTTTAAACAGGATTTCATTACATGTATGTTATTTAATAATCTCTTTTCTTTTGGGGAAAACGAGCATCGAGTAGTAAGTCCACTAACGTCGGTGCGTGACCTCTGACCTGTGAGCTCATCGCTGTCCCTGACTGTTTGAAACAGCCAGTTTTCAGCAGGCAGCGAGTTCTTTGAAGGCCGATGTTTGGGCTGCTCTTATCAGCAGACGCAGACGAATGTATCCGAGTTCCTGTGATAAGATTCAGCGATTGAACCAAAAAGTATTTTCTTTGATGTTTACTCCGAGAAATCTCGACTCCCTGAGTACTCCTGAGGTCGCATGACTGTTACTGATGTTTTCCAAGGACACCGTGGGAGTGGGGTGTGTGGGTCAGTGAGATCTGATAGCAGGATGGGCTCATACTGCAGCCGCTGTGTGTGAGTCACCCAGCGGTCTGTTTCTCTTGCGTTGGCCTGAGATGAACGAATCTTTATCGAGACTGAGTCAGAATCACAGCAGCCATTAAAGCGCGTCAGGCGTAATGACGGCTGCTGCTCTGCAGGTAGAGAAGCAGGCGAGCCATCGACGCCGTGATGCGAGTGTTGAGGAGGCACGAACGCCGGGGTTGTAACATTAGCAGCCGTGCGCTCTCTGACCTTTCACCTTTCTAACCTCTAAACAGAAACTGTGCTAGCAGCTGGTGGAGACTGCAGCTGGGTCGTGTTACACGTTATCATGTTTGAACATCTCACGCTGAACGTTTTCAGCTGACAGCACGGTTTGTTTGAAGGTCACGGCTCCTCGCCGTCAGCGCGCTGCTGCAGAGACACGTCGTCAGTGCTAATCACTGTTTTCTGTTTCTTTGTGTTTTTCAGTACCTCGCCGTACTAAAGAAGACGTCCTGATTGCTGCCGGTAAGTCTGATCTGTGGGTGACATAATGCACACTCAGCTGTGTGTTTGAGAGCAGCTGCTGTGGACACAAGAAGAGACACTTACACATTTTTGCAGTGTGACATCAGCAGGAGCGTCCAGGTGACGGTCTGAGCGGGAGCGTGTGTGTGTGTGTGCGTGTGTGTGTGTGTGTGTGTGTGTGTGTGTGTGTGTGTGTGTGATGTGTGTCGTGTGAGACTGTGTGTGTGTGAGACTGTGTGTGTGTGAGCTGTGTGTGTGTGTGTTGTGTGTGTGTGTGTGTGTGTGTGTGTGTGTGTTGTGTGTGTGTGTGAGAGTGTGTGTGTGTGTGTGTGCGTGTGTGTGTGTGTGTGTGTGTGTGAGCGGAGTTCTTAGTATGGTGTGTGTGTGTGTGTGTGTGTGTTGTGTGTGTGTGTGTGTGTGTGTGAGCGTGTGGTGAGTGTGTGTGTGTGTGTGTGTGTGCGTGTGTGTGTGTGTGTGTGTGTGAGCGTGTGTGTGTGTGTGTGTGTGAGCGCGCGCGTGTGTCTGTGCCGTGGGGATTCGTTTCTCACACCTGAACAGAGGAAAATTGGACAGATCCCCAATTTTAGGACCAGTCAAACATTTCTAGGCGGATAAACCGTCATGATGTCATGCTGCTGAGCACGCTTTGACTGCAGCACGCTACGTTACCAGCTGATGCTGACTAAGGCAGCGTAGCTGCTAATCAGTGCTGAGAACCAGCCTGATAACATCCTCAGTGCTGACACGGCCATCCTTTATGTACAGTCTGTAGCCTGACGCTGTGTTCTATTGGCTGCTCGCTGCTGATGCAGCAGCTCCCAAGGCCGTCCCCACGGCTCAAGCTAACACAGCCCCGTGTGTGTCTGTGTCTGTGTGTGTGTGTGTGTGTGTGTGTGTGTGTGTGTGTGTGTGTGTGTGTGTGTGTGTGGATGATGCACCCGTGGTGTTGATGACATCTATTCCTCCTGAAGGAAATGTGTGAGATGATTGGTCTGCTCACCAAAATAAAAGCATTCACAGGAAACAGTTAAAATCACAAGTTTAATCAAAAAGCAGAACAAATAATAAAACAGAGAAATGGAGAGCAGCACCGCTGAGCTCAGCTGTGATTGGAGGCTGACCGCTGGTCAAAACAGGAAATGAAGATGTAATATTATTATTATTATTATTATTATTATTATTATTATTATTATTATTATTGCACGGTGAGTGAATCCCCACAGTCACATGACCCCCTGTGTGGAGGATGTCGGTGAACTCCATTTTAACAGGAAGTGACCTGTTGTACTTGTGTCTGCTAGTTCAGCTCCTCGTGCTAACAGGCTTCCATGTTTGTCTTTGAATTTAAAGGCTGGAGATCAGAATTCCTGCTAACGCCATCTTCTCTTTTTCTGCGCAGGCCTACAGTTCCCATAGTTGTATTTCCCATGATTCACCTGTGCAGCCCGGAGGAACAGCCAGACGGATCCAGCTGGTTTCCTGCGAAGCCTCGTCCCTCTGTCCCTCTGTCTGCCGTCTGTCTCAGCGGAGACACCATTTAACCCAAACCATGGATTTAATCAGGGCTCAAGTTGCTTTTTATTTCACTTCTCTTACATTTTTGGAGCTTTTTATTTTTACCTCCACGTTCCTGTATCACTGGATCCTCCTCTCTTCTTCTTCTTCTTCTCTCGCTGTTAACAAACTTTATTCTTTGTCTCACCGCCGCCTCCTCTGCAAAACTCACAACACCGAGAAACTGAGACTGAGACACTTCCTGAGCTGAAGCTGACGCACTGACAGCTACAATGAGTGACTCTCTTTATCCTGCTGAAACCTGAGGAGCACACGCACGCACACAGACACACACACACACACACACACAGACACACACACACACACACACACACACACACACACACACGCACGCACACAGACTCAAACACACAGACACACACGCACAGAGACACACACACGCACACACGACACACACGCACGCACACAGACACACACGCACGCACACAGACACACACACACGCACACAGACACACACACACAGCTGTGATGCCTGGCTGATCACAAACACAAAGGAGGCCACACATGTAGAAGTTTCCAGGGTTAAAATGATGCTGCGGTTTGGTTTATCTCTTGGTCTGTACCAGGTGGGCGGGGCCTGTGTGATGGGGGACATTTCAAATGCAGCAGAGCATTTTAAAGTAAAGGTTTAGAGGCTTCCCTGGAAGCTTCGTGGGATCCCACATACCTCAGTTTATCCTGGCAGTGTTTATTTTTAGCATTTATAACGTTCCTGTTCCAGCCATCATCCACCGCGGGCATTCAGATAAAACATGGAACGATGTTTACTCAGGCTGCTCCATTTTGAAATCGCCAACAGTCCGGTCAGACGGTCCCCATCAAAGGTGTGCACACGATCCACGAGTGAAAGCGTCTGCGCTCAGTCCTGCATCGCGCAGGCTGCGATCGGCGCTTCTCCTGATAAACAGCATCGCGCGGCATGGTGTTTCTAATATTTTGTCCGTCCCACTCACATGAGAGAAAGAGCAGCTGGTGTAAAGCAGGAGCTCAGCCCGATCTGAGCGCGCTCACTTTTACTCTGATTACCTGCAGTAACTGGAAGCTCAGTCTGTGATTAATGAGGGGTGCTGTCAGCCCACCAATCAGAGAGCAGGTCTCAAACTCCCTGAAAGCACTAACAGGGAAACACATGAATGCTGTAACACACACACACACACACACACACACACACACACACACACACACACACACACACACGGGTACAGTGCAGGGGTCCCTCCATAACCCCGGCTGCCTCCCTCCTGCAGCTTTACCTTCAGGCTGTCGCAGCGCTGCGTTAAAGTGCTGCTGCAGTGTTTAGTGGAAGTGCGCGCACACAAACAAAGGGAGGAAACTTTGAGGAGGGCAAGATTCAACACGCAGGGACGAGGTGACGGGAAAACGGGGCTTAAAGAGTTGGGGGGAGGGGGGGTGTTTGTGGGCGGGGACATTCTTTGACTTTTGGAGGGAAGGTTTGGTGAGGTTCGAGGAGGTGCTGACATTCTTAACCACGATTGGACAGAAGCTGTTTTAAATGATTCACAGCTGTGCGCACACTCACGCCGCGCCCTGTTTTATTTGAAGTTCAGCTTCCAGGCAGCCGTTTGAGTATTCTGAGTCCAGCGCTTTGAGCTGATCCACCAGTTTGGTTTGTCTGGTGTGTGAGTGCGTGCACTGATCTCCAGTAAGAAGAGTATTTATTTAGTTTACTTTATTAAAAAAGGAAAAACTTGGTAACTGGAGCTGAAGATCATAGCAGGTCTGCAGATCACACAATCAGAAGCTTTTTGGTAGTTTAAGTTTGTGTGTTTTCACAAAGCCGCCGTGACCTCGTCCTCTGATTCTGGGCTCATCGTGAAGCCTCGGCACCATTTGAGCTTTTTCAGAGACAGACGTGACCTCGTTCAGACCGCAGGGTTATCAGCTGATATCAATCCGCATAGCAAGCCATGTGATTGGATAACGGAATAAAAATGAATGCAGGGGTCCGGTCCTAGCAGCCACGCCCCCAATCATGGGAATGGTGAACTGTAATCATCCAAAGATTATGTGTCAGCGTTGGAAACATCATTATTATCAAGTTTTAATGGGAGTCTATGGGGCTGACTCTCTGCTGGACCCCTGCTGGCTGTTAGAGGAACTGCTGTGTCGGTTTTTATCTGGATCTCTGTAGCTGAGTTTCTGAAAGCCATAAACATCTCTCACCGTCTCCGGTTTGGGAAAACACACAAACAGAATGTATTAAAACCAAGATGTGAGTCCTCTGTTGTCTGAAACACGAGACGCGTGTCTTTGAATACAACACGAGCAGCCGTGGAAACTGGCCTCGCTGTAAATACATGATGATGTTCTACACTGTAAACTGTTTGTGTGACATGTTTTTTTTTATTTTATATATATATATATATATATGTGTGTGTGGGGTTTATGATTCTGTTTTTAATGTTTACAAAAACTCTCTGTATGAAATAACATTTGTATAAATACTAAAATACTAAATGAGAAAATAAATGAAAATCATGTTTTTGAAAAGCCATAAAAATTGTCAAAATATTTTCCTAACTTCTTCCCGTTTCTTGTGTTTCCTTTTACTATGAGGCTTTCTTTGAACAACCAATCAAAGTCTGTATGTGTTCAAACTGTCCAATCACAGCATGTGTGCCTGCATGCCTGTGATGACTCAGGTGAAGAACACCTGAGGGCTTGGGGGACCGTGTCTCTCACCGGCACGCCCGAGTGAAATCAATCTGCCGCAGCGCGTCATTGTTCTGCAGGTTTAAAGCTGACCTTCTGTTGTGTTGGAGCACGATCACATGAAACACGGCTACAGTTTCAGATAACGAGGTCAGCGATCCCCGTGAGCAGGCTGCTCTAAACACTGCTTATCACAGCTTTTCCTACTTTTGCCTCTTTGTGATATAACACAGAGGGGGTGGTCCCTGCTCTTTCAATGTGAGGTTAAATGAAGGAACCCTGTGAGAGACAAATGACTCTTCCTGCAGATGGTTTGTCTCTCCCTTGTTGCACACTCTGACTTGCAAAACACAGACCTGCAACAAACTGGTTGGGACTCTGCATTCCTGTCGGTCAGGTTCGCGATAATCATATCAAATTCTTATAGTCACAAGTCACAGTTTTCCAACATCCGGCTCCAGAACCCACATTGCTTTTTAAACTGGTCTGCTTTAATGGTGCCACTGAAGTGGACTGTTTCCAGTCGCTCTCTGTAATCCCTCTCTGGCTGTGCGTCAAAATAAGAACAAGTTGTTTTCCACGTCAGATTAAAATCAGTGAGCTCAGACTTCTTGGATGCTCTGTTATTTCAATCAACCGAACAGAAATCAAATTATTGATCAGATCATTGCATTCATACTCCAAAAATGATCCTGCTGCCAGCAGAGGCCACGCCACCGCTGGATCAGACCCTGGAGAACAACCTCAGACACAAACTGGATGGATGGATGGATGGATGGATGGATG